TATAAAATGTGTTGTACATAAATATCTGTTACGTTTAACAAGAATCGAATGCAATTGTTAGTGAAAAGTCGACGTTTTTTTATAACAGGTATCAAGAAACAATATTTTTCAGATGTCTATACATACATATGTATGTATATACATACATGTGTGACTTAAGCGAAATATCGAAGTATCGGCAACGTCGAAACTGCAACAAACTAACAATTGAAAGAAGCCACGATTAGAACGAACGTAATCGTAATTAATTGCGATGGGCGGTTAAAACGTGATCGTTCATTCCAATTGACGATTACACACCTGTAACGATCGATTCGCGTTGATCGTCGAATGAATATTTTTAGCTCGACTCTTGATATCCCGAGGCGGCAAATTAGAGAGAGAAAAAAAAGGATTCGATCGACGACAAGAGATATTGGAAAAAAAGCAAAAACAGAAACGGAACTGTGTTCGTTGCGCGATCGTTTGATGTTCGTTCATCCGTTATCGTCTATTGTCTAGCCTTCGGATCACGGTCTTCGCGTTCCTCGAACGTGCCTTCCCTCATCTTTAATTCATTCGGCAACGATCTTCCGCGGCGATTGTTACACCGCGGCCGCGGCCGCAATTCCAGACGCGATTCACGTTTAGCGAGCAGAACGCGAACCGCGCGTTCGGCAGGGTTCGATCAGGAAAAATGGACGTTTTTTATCAGGGAAAATGGGCGGCGCGAGAATCGAACCGCGAATCGATTCGCGCGCCCATTCCGGAGCGGAAAACGCTGCCGTCCGATAGGACGATGCTTTCGCGGTAATAATTTCAGCTTGATTATGCAACCCGTTTATGCGATGAACACACAATTTTATTATATTTTTTTGGTATTATATTATATTATATATTATTATATTATTTTATATTATGTAATATATTGTTATACTATATATTATACAATATATTATTGTATCATATTAGATAACATATTACTATATTATATTATTATATTATATAATATATTATTATACTATATGTTATACAATATATTATTGTATCATATTAGATAACATATTACTATATTATATTATTATATTATATAATATATTATTATACTATATATTATACAATATATTATTGTATCACATATTAGGTAACATATTATGTATTATATAATATATTATTATACTATATGTTATACAATATATTATTGTATCATATTAGGTAACATATTATGTATTATATTATATTATTGTATTATATAATATATTATTATACTATATATTATACCTGTCTCTTATACACATCTAGATGTGT